TACTATATTTGCTCATTTTGTAGATAAGAAACCTGAGGTCTAGAGACATCAGGGGACTTGGCACATGGTGGGCTGGGGGAAGAACTGAAGATATAGTCCAGGTCTCCTGGCACCCTGTCCAACACTGTCTGTCTACTCAGCTTCCTCAAGGGCTGCTGAACAAGGAAGCCAGGGTTTGATTCATGGGTGATGGTGCCCAATGGCTCAAAGTTCTTATTGTTTGACCTTTGGAGGGACCGTCATGTGTCTTATGTGATCACCACTAATAATGTTATCCAGGCCTTGGGTGAGAGCAGGCAGTGCTGTTGCTACAGCAAGGGTGTCCACTCAGGAGAGGCAGCTCTGAGACCGAGGAGAGCGTACATGGGTGCAGGGAGCCTTGCTCTGACTCCCCTTGGCCCCCTGAACCCCAGCAGTTAGAAGGTTGGTTCTTCCAGCTATCAGTGACTACCAGACACAGAGATGTCATTGTCTTCACTGACGATGCTTTTGACCATGTGGGCTTGTGTGTGTGAGAGGGAGGGTGGTCTCATGGAGGTGAACCCAAGAGTGAAAGTCCTTTCTGTGGGTTTGTGGATAAATGACACCCCTAGCTTTTCATACTCATGGATGCCTAGATAATTTCCAGGGCTTGGTGTTGATGAAATTGAGTTAGTATATTACTAGAACTGACAGAGAACAAACCCCGCCACAATGTCTGGCTGCTTTACATGCGGCACTGCCTACAGATGCGGGGGGGTCCCCATCTCCAGGAGGACACTCGGCTGCCAGCCCAGTACCACCTAGAGGCTATCCTGGTTTTCACCTCCTGTCTGTCTTGTTCTTTGGTGGTGAACCCTCTGGCTCTGTGGTTGCTGTGCATGTTGGGTTAATCCCACAGGGCAGATGCAAAGTAAGCCCCAGCTTCCTATGGGAAACCTCTCAGGCCTCCCTACTTCTGCACCTGCCAATGTACAGCTTTCAGCTATAAGGGCTTGGCCTAGGGGCCTCTTGGGAACAAAATGTGACCAACACTTCCTGGATGGCCTGTTGCTCTCTCAGCACCATTGAGGCTTCACAGAAGCAGCCCTGTGGATATGGCAGGGGCAGATGGGTAGCGGTTCCACCTTGTTCCGGGAGACAGGCTTCCTGGAGGCAGCAGGGAGGGTGGCCTCAGGGGCCTCAAGGGCTGTGACACTCAAGAGGTCATCTCTTAGGTAATGGGCTGCAGGAAGTGCAATTCTGTACCACCTGAATTCTGAAATGTTTTATGTACACATAATCACTTCTCTATATCCAACCTGAAGGAAACAAGAACTATGTACTTCTTTATTTTAAAGCTGAGTCAATTCTATGTACTTTCCTCATTGTGAGGTTTCTTCCTCTGGAAGGCTCTATGGGCTCTCTTATGGCACCACAGCTGGGTTCCAAGAATGAGGGGCTGCAGCAGGGTCTTAGACCTGGGTCCATCAGAGAGGGGTGTTCCCTGAGTTCCAGCATCAAAGCAATCAACCAGCCTGCATTCAAGAGGTGCAGGACAGGCTCCTCCTCTTTTTTTTTTTTAAACATTTTTCTCCATCACTTAGGTTTTTGTTTTTATTTTATTTTTATTTTTTCTTTTATAGTTTATTGTCAAGTTGGTTTCCATATAACACTCAGTGCTCATCCCAACAAATGCCCTCCTTCATACCCATCACCCCTTATTCCCTCTCCCCCACCTCCACCAACCCTGTTTGCTCTCAGTTATTTAAGAGTTTCTTATGGTTTGCCTCCCTCCCTCTCCTTAACTATTTTCCCCTCCCCCTCCCCCCACAGTCCCCTGTTAAGTTTCTCCTGTTCCACATATGAGTGAAAACATATGGTATCTGTCCTTCTCTGCCTGACTTATTTCACTTAGCGTAACACTCTTGAGTTCCATCCACGTTGCTACAAATGGCCAGATTTTATTCTATCTCATTGCCATATAGTATTCCATTGTATATATAAACCACAACTTTTTTTTTTTAATTTTTTTAAATGTTTTTTATTTATTTCAAGGAGAGAGAGAAAGACAGCGTGAGCAGGAGAGGGTCAGAGAGAGAGGGAGTGACAGACCCTGAAACAAGCTCCAGGCTCTGAGCTGGCAGTCACCACAGAGCCCGACGCGGGGCTTGAACACACGAACCGCAAGATCATGACCTAAGCGAAAGTCGGACGCTTAACCGACTAAGCCACCCAGGCGCCTTCTTGATCCAATCGTCACAACTTCTTGATCCAATCATCAGTTGATGGATATTTAGGCTCTTTCCATAATTTGGCTATTGTTGAAAGTACTGCTATGAACATTGAGGTACATGTGCCTCTATGCATCAGCACTCCTGTATTCCTTGGGTAAATTCCTAGCAGTATGACCTATTGCTGGGTCATAGGGGAGTTCTATTGTTAATTTTTTGAGGAACCTCCACACTGTTTTCCAAAGGGGATGCACCAGTTTACATTCCCACCAACAGTGTAGGAGGGTGCCCATTTCTCCACATCCTCGCCAGCATCTACAGTCTCCTGATTTGTTCATTTTAGCCACTGGTATCTCAGTGTGGTTTTGATTTGTATTTCCCTGATGATAAGGAGCACTGAGCATCGTTTCATGTGTCTGTTGGCCATCTGAATGTCCTCTTTGGAGAAGTGTCTGTTCATGTCTTCTGCCCATTTCTTCACTGTTTTATTTGTTTTTTGGGTGTGGAGTTTGGTGAGTTCCTTATAGATTTTGGATACTAGCCCTTTATCTGATATGTCATTTGCAACTATCTTTTCCCATCCATTCAGGTGCCTATTAGTTTTGTTAATTGTTTCCTTTGCCATGCAGAAGCTTTTTATCTTGATGAGGTCCCAGTAGTTCATTTTTGCTCTTGATTCCCTTGCTTTTGTTGTTTTGTCAAGTAAGAAATTGCTGCGGTTGAGGTCAAGGAGGTTGTTTCCTGCTTTCTCCTCTAGGGTTTTGATGGTTTCTTGTCTCACATTCAGGTCCTTCATCCATTTTGAGTTTATTTTTGTGTACGGTGTGAAAAAGTGGTCTAGTTTCATTCTTCTGCATGTTGCTGTCCGGTTCTCCCAGCACCATTTGCTAAAGAGGCTGTCTTTTTTCCATTGGATATTCTTTCCTGCTTTGTGAAAGATTAATTGGCCATACATTGTGGGTCCAATTCTGGGTTCTCTATTCTATTCCATTGGTCTATGTGTCTGTTTTTGTGACAATACCATACTGTTTTGATGACTATAGCTTTGTAGTAGAGGCTAACGTCTAGGATTGTGATCAGGCTCCTCCTCTTGATGGAGTGCACACCATCACTAATATAGAGGGGATGAAGTGTTGGTAGAGATCTTTGAGACCCCCTGCCACAGTTATAATCTTCACTTACAATTTTATATATTCTATTAAAATGAGGATCCAGGCCAAATGGTGAAGCAGATACTGAGGAAAGAACAGGGGTGCTGAACGTTACTGCTGCTCCTCCACTGTTTATTTCTTTGGGCTCAGTTTCCTCATATGTTCCACCAGGTGGTTGGTAATTAACAGAAATTGATAGCCCAAGACAATTTTTAAGCTAAGTAAAAAATGCACCTGGCATAGAGCAAGGCACATGTCTAGTGCTAGTGCTAGCTATTGTCACTGATTTACTAGCCTTAAAATCCTTTATTCTCTGGCAGGAGGCAGACACACACACACACACACACACACACACACACACACACACACACGGCCTGGGGCTGACTTCCAGTGGAAGCTCCTCTGAAAAACTCTCCTCTGCAGGGTATTTCCCTTTGCAGATCTTACAGCTAACAGGAAGTAATCTTTCCCAAACCCAAAGAACTCAACCAACCAGTTTTCCAAATTCCCTTTCCCTCTGTTTGCCTTTTTTAGTATGTTTTTATGTCTAGGGTGTTGAAATATTTAAGAATCTGGTTGAGGCAAGATTCTGTGAGTTTCCTTCTATCCTTCTTAGCTAGACTAGAACACAGCCTCCACTACTGAACTGCCTGTGTGCCCATTCCAGGCTAGACTTTTCAGATATTACTGCATTTAATCTTGACCGCAGCCCTGGGAAAGAGATGTTACTTCTGTTTTCAAGAAAAGGAAAATGAGGCACAGAGAGGTTAAGAAACTTGCCCAAGGTCACAGAGCTAGAAAAGTCAACATTTGAACCCAGGCCACACATGCTGGAGCAATGGGAGAAACCTTTATGTTTCCAAATCGGCCAAGGGTTGTAGAGTATTTGCTTCGCTGTTACACGCCCCCCCCCCCCCCCCGCCCTTAGCAGGTGACCTCAGCGGGGGCTGAGGCCGGCAGCTTGCCGATAAGAACATCAGACTTCAGACCAACCTCCTGGCCCAAGGACCACTAACCAGCCCATTTGGCCCTCGGGAGCCGCTTGTGAGTGCGTTTAGGGGTGGGGTACGGGCCAGTCTGGCGGGGTCACTGGCTCACTCTCAAGGGCGCACAAAGGGATTAATACTTTGACTTCAGCCTCGGAGATGAAACAACCTAACTTTGGTGGTCCTCGGATCCACCTGCGCGCTTCCCTCCACCAGCCGCTTACATTCCGCGCTGGCTCCTTCCTACTGCAGAAGGTTCCAGGCGCCACAGCCCGGGAGCCTGCGTCCCCCGACGCACGTGTCGCTGTTTTGTTTTGTTTTGTTTTGTTTTGTTTTGTTGTTTTATGGCGCAGCCCTCGGATCCTGAAGACCAAAACAGCCTGAACAAACTGAAACCAAAACATCCTGGCCTGACGCCCGGCGTCCGGACGGGAGCGCAGAACCAGGAGGAAAGGCCGTGGCATAGCAGCCCCGCCACAGCCGCTTACCTCCCTGGGTCCGCGTTTCCCAGCGCCTTTTCTTCCTCCGCAGACCCCTTCTCTAAGGAGAAGAAGGGGTGGGACCCGGGAAGGTCCGGGAGGGAGGCAGCTCCCTGCAGGACCCGGACCCTGAGGAATGGGTGGTGGCCAGAGGGCGGGGACGGGGCGGGGCCCGCGGAGACAAGAAGGCGCGCCCCAGGCTCCCAGCATCGGATCTCGGCTCAGAGTGCTTTTGGGCGTCGGGCAAGATGGCTGCTCGCGGCCTGGGCCGCAGCCTGGGAAGATTCCTGTGCAGCCCCAGCTGGCGCTCGGGGAAGCCGGTGAGGCCGCTGCGCGGGGTGAGCGCCCCCGCCGCAGCCACCGCGCAGCTCGGCTCGTACCAGGCGCAGAGCGTACAGGCGGCCCGGGAACCGGCAGCTTTCTGGGGGCCGCTGGCGCGGGACACGCTCGTGTGGGACACCCCCTATCACACCGTCTGGGATTGTGACTTCAGCAGCGGCAAGATCGGCTGGTTCCTGGGAGGCCAGTTAAACGTGTCTGGTGAGTGGGCTGCGGGGGACCCAGGGCGCCCTCAGCTCACGCGTGCCGAGGGGACTTAACGGAACCTGGCGGGCCCGGCGGGTCAGGCCCCACGGGAGGCCCCTCTTCCCGTCTTCTGCTAGTCACACTCTCGACTGTGGCGCGTCGCCACCCCCGCCCCATCCCACCTGGCCAGGGAGGCTCCAGCGGCCACTGCCACTCCGCGCCCGGACACCACCTTCCCAGCTTCCGCACGTGCCTGCGGGGACACGGCCGGCCGTGAGCTCGAGTCGCCCAACGCCTGGCCTTGCCCCAGCGCGGCTGTTTTCGAAGTTTAACTACCAGGTTCCACTGCACTGCGGAGCGTGCGCCTGCGGAGCTGCGGGCGACCCCTGGGCCAGGCTGGGGTGTAGGGCGTGGGGCGCAGAGGTGTCGGTCAGGACTTCTCCGCTCCTATCCCTGGGGGAGCCAAGAAACGAAAGATAAGCGTCTGACTTGTCACCGCCAGTTGCGGTGCCCAGCGACTGACTTGACTGGGGAGAAACTGCCCATGTAAACAAAGGTAGGAGTGGAAGGCATCTGGGTAGGAACAACAGTAGCCAACAGTAGGAATCAGTTATTTCCTTGATCCTGGGTCTGTGGGTGGGAAAGATGGAATGGGTGTCTCTTGACAGTTTCAGCTGCACCCAGAAGACCCACAACTTGCTTTAGACCAGGTGGTGATTGAGACGCCAGGAACCAGCTTCCTATCTGTGGAGACTGAATCCACTATAGTTTTGTTAAGATTTGGGATAAGGAAGTGGAGGCAGTAGCAGCCAGGCAGAGTAGGCCTGGGGTTGGTCTGCTGGGGCAGGCTGGGACTTGGAGGCAGGTGTGGTGGTTAGAGGGTCTGCCTGCTGTCTGGAAATATGGCGTTAGATGGGGTCTGGGAGGTGTTTAAAAAAAGAGCCTGCAAGTCTTCATGGCAAGGCTGTGCCTGGGCCTAAACTTGGAGGGTTGGATCTGGTGTCTGACCCAGCTCCACCAGGTACTGCTCAATTTTTCTACTCCTCAGAGCCTCAGTCTCCTCCTGTGTAAACTGGGGGTGCTAATGCCCACCTGCTACTCTGGTTGTCAGGACAGAGTGCCAGAAGGTATGGACCAGTCCAGCATTTATTGGTGATCAATAGTAGTAGTGATTTTAACTTATATTCTGAAGTGGCCATAAAATTATAGGTAGTGCCTGGCAGTTATTTTTCCAGCAAAGAAACTTAAGGGAACTTTGAGCCATATATATATTTTCTCATATTGTACATTACTTTGCTGGTTTAATCAAAAGGAGTCACTTACTAGATAAGTGTTTTCTCTAAAATTGAGTCAGCAGTAAGTGTCCTTGAACTAAGTCGGAAAAAAACCAAACCCTTAGGTTCACAAAGTTGGTGGAATGTGACTTTTAAGGGGAGGAAAGTGATTTACAGAAGGAAGGCACTGAAAGTGCAGCTCCTTAAGGCTGCTTTTGGACATGAAAGGCTTGAGTCTGCTGTGAACATTCATGATTAGCTTGTGTGCACTTGCAGCCTCTCACTCTTTGATAAGACAGTGGGGATGGACCTCACAGGGCAGGTACTTAGGGCCTGGTGAACCTCAGTCAGTCAGGGCTGGGTGTGGTCAGCAAGCAGTTCTGCTGCCTGTTTTTCCTTCACTTATTTCTCCTTTATGGCTGCGAAGCCAGCAGCTGACCTTCAGGAAACTGTTGTGCAGGACACAGCCTTTTGCAGGTTCCTTCCTCCAGTGTATATGGCTACCCATTCATTTGTCAGGGATCTCTTTGCCCTTTGACAGTGTCTGTAGACTACAGAGGTGACAGTATGGAAGAGAACAAGGTCAGGCCACAGCTGCCCTGAGTACCACCTAGAAAGTTGTGGCCTGATCTGTGTGATAGTCAACACAATGATGGCTTGTTCCAAAGAACCATTGCTCTTAAAACTGCCATTGCCCCTCCAGGGGGATCTGTACTAGCAGTTCTCAAAGTGTGGTCCCCAGACCAGCAGCATCAGCATCACCTGGGAATTGTTTAGAAACAGAAGTTCTCAGACCCCATCCTAGACTGTCAGAATCAGAAACCCTGGGAGTGGGGCCCTGCCCTGCTTATTATTAAGCCCTCCAGGTGCTCCTGATGCACATTCAAGGTGGAGAACCACTGACCTATCAAACCCAAACCAGGGCAGATGAAGGCACTTCTGAAATGGGCAGGATTGGGATTAGTGTCCTGGAGATGACTCTGCTGAACAAACAAAAATGGTATATGAGTGGGGCGCCTGGGTGGCTTAGTCGGTTAAGCGTCCGGCTTTCGCTTGGGTCATGATCTCGCGGTTTGTGGGTTCGAGCCCCGCGTCGGGCTCTGTGCTGACTGCCAGCTCAGAACCTGGAGCCTGTTTCAGTCTGTGACACCCTCTCTCTCTGACCCTCCCCTGCTCACGCTGTCTCTCTCTCTCTCTCTCCTAGAAATAAATAAAAATATTTAAAAAAAAAATGGTATATGAGTGATGCAGTACAGTTTAGTGGTCCTAGGTGTGTCTAGAATCACACCTAGGTTTGATCCTTACTTTCCCCTTACTGTTCTTTGTGTGCATCTCCTCCTCTGTAAAATAAGTATAGTGTGTAATTGAACTCTGTTCTAATTACTGTTGTTGCATATCCACCACCCCGTTTACTGGCATAAGGTGGCAACCATTTTATTACTCTCGCAGATTCTGTGGCTCAGGACTTTGGACAAGGCCTGGTGGGGATGACTTGTTTCTGCTCCTGAAGGCTCTCTGGGCTGTTGCATCTGCCTTGCTTCTCAGTTCCGAGTCTGGGGCCTGGGCTGGGATGACTACCGGCTGGGCTCAGTTGGAACTGTGGCCTAAAGCACCTACGTAGGGCTTGTTACAGCCTGTTGCTGGGCCTAGGGAATGCTGGTGACCAGCAATTTCAGAGACCAAAGCAGAGGCTGCTAGGCTTCTTCTGGCCAGGAGTGAACAACCTGGGGATACCTGGGGCTGTGGTTAGCAGCAAGTGATAAGTGAGAGAACTGTACCCAGTCACTGGCTTTTGTTATTTATTAATGGATCATGAGGAAACCTGTGACCTTGAACTTGGCCTTCAGCAGTGTTACTGGGAATGCTGTTTTCTCTGAACAAGACCACAGGAGTTTGTATCTGATCAGTCTTGGATAAGCAGGAAGCAGGCTTGGGAAGGCTTGCAGGTGGTCGACATGGCTCTCAAAGTCCATCCTGGGGCTCTGGGATAGCTAGATTGTTAGGTGGGGTCATGGTGTTAGAGGACCCCTGAGAAGGGCAGATAGAGTTCCCAGCCTTCAGTGACTTGCTTCTATTACATTTACATAAAAGTGCTTCTAAAGTTTCTATGGAAAGCTGAGATCTAAGAAGAATTCTAAAAAGGATTCTTTTTAAAATATTTTTAGTTTAATTCCTAAATAGTTAATATACAGTGTTATATTAGTTTCAAGTGTACACTATAGTGATTCAACAATTCTATACATTACTCAGTGCTCATTGTGGTAAGTGTACTCTTTAATCCCCATTGCCTATTTCACCCCTCTCCACACCGCCCCTCTGATATTTACAAATGACATAGCTGATAAAGGGTTAGTATCTAAAAAGGATTTTTACCAGTCTTTGAAATTTGGCCCTGTCTTTTGCAGGGCTCAGCAGATAAAAGTTTTTGCTCTGTGGCATATAAACTCAGGATGTCAGGAAGTTGCAAATGCAGAACTGGAGGGTAATGATGTGTGTTGCTTTCAAAACACACAACTAAATTCTGTTTTCTAAACACCAAATTCTGAATCAGATTTCTTTAAAAAAATATGAGTTTTCTTACTTTTAAGCAAGGGTGTAGAAAAACTATTTTTAACCAGAGATTTCTGGATGCTTTTTGGAGCATGAATTGCAGCTGTGGAAGCCACTTGCTATACTTTTCTCCTCTTTACAATTCCACCTCCCCTAATTCAGAAGGCAGATGCACTGAGAATGGAAGATGCTGCACTTCTATGGTCCACTTTTCTCTCAATGGTTAAAGTAACTTTTCTAAAGTCTTTCCAGGAAGTCTAAATGAAAGTGTAACCCCAGGTCTTAGGAGGAGTGCCCTCCTAAAGAGACTGAATTCTTCCCAGTTGTCAGATGCATGACTTACTTTAAATAGCAGATGCTTCTGGAAAGTTGGCAAATAAATTTATGACTGATGTAATCTCTTAAAATGTGCCAGGGAGATTTTCTATTTAAAGAAAACCCATTGTGAATCCCTTTGTGAATATTAACTACCTCATTTCTTTTGATTAAAATTGAATTTCTGTATGTGGGTTCACTTAGAGTTTTGGAGGGGGAGGGATGTACTTAAACATCTGACAAGAGTTCTTGAAAATTCCTATATAAGTGTGTGCTATCTTTACAATGGAAATGATAATCCTATTGTAATCTTTTTTTAAAAAAACAACTCAAAACCCATGAACCACCAGCAGGCATTTGCTTATCTGTTTGCAGAATTGTGTTAGGCCCCTAAGTAGATCACTACTTAGGAAAACAGTGGAGCCTCATATCATCTTGTCCTCATGACACCAGTGTGAAGTGATTGGTCTTCCCATTGTACAGATGTGGAAATGAAGGCTCCAACTTATGTATAGTGATGAACAGTATGGAAAATGCCCCAATGCCACAGGGCATGCATTCTGCCTGGAGATGAACCAAAAATAAGTAAGCGACCAAATCCGCACTGGGATAACTTGCTTAAGATTTTTCTAGCTGCTAAGGGGAGAATTATGATAGCACCCCTCCCTACTACCCCATGATAAAGGAATCTTAGGCACATGGTCCCTGTCCTCAGGGACTTGTGACCCAGATGGGGAAGGATTTAGCAGAGTTAGCATTATGTTCCTGAGTGGGGAACCACTGGGCAGGTAAGTAAGCATTAAATGGTGTAAGCCACAGAGTGACAGGGAGTGAGAGGTCACTGTGTGCTGGGGAATTGGAAAAGGTGGTGTTTGGCTGAGCCTTAAATTGACCTAGGTCCTTGCCCACTTGTTTTTGGAAATGGAATTTTCTTGTCCCACTGCCCAGTTCTTTTGGTAGAAGCTTGTTTTTAAATGTGCAGAAGTGGGGTGCCTGGGTGGCTTATTTGGTGTTTGATTCTTGATATTTACTCACATCATGATCGCAGAGGTGTGGGATCAAGCCCCTTGTTGGGCTCCACACTGAGTGTGGAGTCTGCTTAACATTCTCTTTCAGTTTCTCTGTTCCTCTCTCTCTGCGCCCCTCCCCCATCAATAAAAAAATTAATGTGAAGGAAGAATTTCCTTCCTTTCACCCCCACCCCCCTTCTTTCTTTTCCTCCCTGCAATGAAGACTATAGTGGGAACCATATATATGTGTTAAAAGCCAACACATACATGGCATTTTAGGACTACTGTCATTCAGACCCTGAGCTGTTCTTTGTGTACATGTTTGTGTCATCTGAGTGGGCAGCTGTGGAGGGTGCTTCTCTTGGGAACACAGCAGCACCATCTGACCCCATGCTGGAAACCCTCAAATGGCATCTAATTCCTATCCTCTCTCCGAATCAGGAGGCATTACTCCCACGATGGATTAGGAAAGTGAGATTTAAATTAGATAAGCAGAGCACTGTCTGTGGTTAGTGAATGGTTGGACAGGGTCCAGATTCCAGAGCATGGGTTTTCCCCATGACTCCAAGCCGCCATCCAGCAAGGGTTTGGCCAGATATCTTACAGAGAATTTTATTTTTTAAAATAATTTTTTAATGTTTATTTATTTTGGAGAGAGATGGGAGGGGAGGGGCAGAGAGAGGGAGACATAGAATCCAAACCAGGCTCCAGGCTCTGTGCTGTCAGCATAGAGTCTGATGTGGAGCTCGAACTCATGAACTGTGAGATCATGACCTGAGCTGAAGTTGGACACTTAACTGACTGAACCACCCGGGTGTCCCGGATCTTTAATTACTCCTGTCCTCAAAGGAAAAAGAAAGGTGCCCCTGTCCACCCCAATCTGGAATAGAAGTGTGTAGGTGTATGCATACACAGCCATCTGCTGGGGCAGGGTCCTGAACTGGCAGCGGCAGCAAGTGGGATCTTACTAGAGGCAAAGATGCTCATGCCCACCGGACCTGCTCATTCAGAGACTCAGGGTGAAGCCTCACCATCTCTGTGCTAACAAGCCCTCTGGGGATTCTGGAGGATTCAGAAGTGCTCATTTAGATTAGACAGAGACCTTGAGGGATAAAGCCACAGAGACAAGAGGTCTATTCTTTCTGTAGTCATGGAGCCCTTTAGACTCCAATGTTGCCCTCCAGCCTGAGGACTTGAATAGTCTGTCCATCATTCAGAGCTGTGGTCCTTCTTTACTCTGTGCTATGGGTTAAGCTGCAGAGGTACAAATATTTACAGGACATTGGGTCCCAGCCTACAGAGAGGCAGCAAGTATAAACGTCTCAGGAAAAGTTAGAGGGAGGCATGAGGTCCACAGGGTGTGAAGTGCTTTGTGAGAGTGGGAACATACAGGCCAGATCTGCAGGAGTGTGGGCACCAGGTGAAAGGCAGCAGTAGGGACAGTGCGACAGTGTCCCCCAGGCAAGGAAAAACATAGCAAAGGCCCTGAAGCAAGAAGGAGCTCACCAGACTCTACATGGCCAGTGGGGAGAGGTAGATCATGTACATCCTTGGCGGCTGCTAGTTGAACACTCCCTGTGTGCAGGGAAGGCATGTAGGGGACACTGCACCCGGGGCTCAATACTTACTTGCCTGGATTCCTGCCATCCATCAGCCCCAGGAAGATGGGGAGACATGGCTGGTCTCACTGGCCATCCATCCACATGCTGGATTCCTAAAGTCCATCTTGTGGCAGGTGTTCCTTCTCTACTTTCTGCAGCTCTGCTTTTTTGCTTGGTGTAAACCAGGTACAGGATGTCCTGCTGGGGTCTGAGGCTATGAGGGTCTTGGCTCGAAGCTGGACCATCCCTAATGAGATAAGAATATCTGGTGCCCTGGCTGCTGTGGGAACAAACAATGCCAGGAGATGAATCCTGGGTGAGACATCATGTGTGGTTTGTGGCCCTTTCACTGCTTTCTGGCCGTGGCTTTGGGCAGGTCACTGGACCACCCAGAACACCTGGTTTTCTAGGCATCTTAGCTGCCCACTTTTCAGGGTGACTCAAAGGGTCAGACTCAGAGTGGGAGAAGGTATTTTAGAGCAGGCATCTTTGTTTGGCATGCACACATTTCAGGGGATCGTTTATGGGGTAGGTTTGGGGTGAGGCTAAGAGTTTGCTCTTGTAACTAGCTCCCCTGTGATGCCTGGAATAGCCAGGGGCCAACGAGCATTCATGCGCACATGGGAGCAGCCCCCTCCTCCCACTGGACCACCCATCCCCACACAGTGCACAGCTATAACCATCTGCGGATTCTCAGCTGGGCACTTTCAGGCTTGTTGTGACCTGCCCAGGGTCACTTTATCTTGGTTCATCACTTAGGTCCTTCAGGGCCTGAAAACAGGGGTGGGGGGAGCATTGGGCTTGTGTTGGGGGATGGAGATGTGGGGATGTAGGAGGGAGGAAGGGCAAGGCCCTCCTGTGGGGCAGTCACTGCTTTAGTTCCTAGACTAGGGTGTGACCTCATCTGATGATTGTTCAAGAGAAGCCAGAAATCTGTGGTTTTAGTGTGAAAACTCTTGATTTCTAAATTTTGGACTGATTGAGACACACACACATACACACACACACACACTGATGTCAGGTTTCTTGTGTAAACCCAGGTTTTGCCACCAACCTCTTTCTCAATTTGACTTCTTTTTGTGTTTTCTTTCTGCTATTTTTTTCTTTTTTTAAAATGTTTATTTATTTTTGAGAGAGAGAGAGAGAGAGAGAGAGTGTGTGTGAATGGGGGAGGGGCAGAGAGAGAGGGAGACACAGAATCTGAAACAGGCTAGGCTCTGTGCTCCCAGCACAGAGCCTGACATGGGGTTCGAACTCATGAACTGTGAGATTATGAACTGAGCTGAAGTTGGACACAACTGACTGAGCCACCCAGGTGCGCCTCTATCTGCTGTTTTTATGGCATTTCTTCTCTTTTGTTTTTCCAGTAACTTAAAAAAACTTTCCTGTAACAGTACTATCAGTAATTTTTCCAGATGACTTCTATCTTTATTAAATTTTCTGAAGTATAACTTGTACACCTGTTAGGAGCCAGAAAGTTCAATTTTATTTATTTATTTATTTTTAAGAGAGAGGAGAGAGAGAGAGAGAGAGAGAGAGAGAGATAGCATGCACAAATGTGGGTCCAAGGAAGGGGCAAATAGAGAGGGAGACAGAGAATTCCAAGCAAGGGAATTGATGTGGGGTTTGAACCTGTGAACTGTTGAGATCATGCCCTGAACTGAAATAGAGTTAACTGACTGAGCCACCCAGGTGGCCCTGAAATTCTTTTATTATAAGAGTAAATGATTGATAAAATAACCCAAGAGGGGGAAAATGTAATTCACACACACATGCAGCTAAAGTATGCAAATATTTTCACATGGGTTCACTCTGTCAAGAGTTACAAGAATCACATAATCTTTTTTTTTTTTAATGTTTATTTATTTTTGAGAGAGAGAGAGAGACAGAGCACAAGCAAGGGAGGGGCAGAGAGAGAGGGAGACACAGAATCTGAAACAGGCTCCAGGCTCTGAGCTGTCAACACAGAGCCGGACGCGGGGCTTAACCAACTGAGCCACCCAGGCGCCCCAAGAATCACATAATCCTTTATGGGCATGTGCTCTCATAACTTTCGTCAGAACAGTTAATAAATATCAAGAGATGTTTATTAAAGTCGCTGTAGCTCACTGCATAGTATTATCAGTTGATAACAGTACCTTGCATTCATATAATGGCACTACAACATTCAGTCTTTGTATTTGATTCCAATCATAGTTTTGTGAGTTACCCGTGGTAGATAATGTATCTCCCATTTATATGCTAGGATTTTGATTTGGAGAAGATAAGTAACTGCACTCAAAAGAAAAAAAAAGAAAAAATTTATATACCTGGACGCTGGGGTGATCCTGAAGACCCAGTGGGCAGAGGGACTCCTGGCCCCAGAAGCTGTTTGTGGTTTTTGTTTCTCCTGCTGAAGGGGGAGTGAGTAATGAAAATCTGGCTGTGAGAGCTGATAGGAAAGGGTTCCTGCATGAACCAGATCTAAGCTCACCTTGAAATCAAGAGTAGTGAATAGGATGTTAGCAAACAAACCTGATCCTACTAATCTTTGGGCTTACAGTAAATCGTCAGAACTGACCTTCTGTTTTTGCGGGCAGTCATGTGATCTGAGCTTGGGTAACAGAGTGGGCGGGAAGCAGAGCCTTCCAGAAAATGAGCATGGCATTTCCCCATCATTTCATCACTTGGAGCAGAGGCTGGTTTGTAGGGCGCTGGCTGGACATCCGAGAAAGGATATGGACTCCAGAGCCTGCTGCATGAACTGTGCACTGAACCCAGTGGCCTGTTGTGTTAAGCATTCTTTCCAGCATCTCAGGTTATAGTGCTCAGCCCCAGATGCATGTTAGAACTACCCAGGGAGCCTTGAAAACCATGGAACCAATTGGGTCAGGGTCCCTGGGGGTGGCCTGGGTGACACCCTTGTGTGGCCAGAGTTGGGCCCACAGGTATGAAGAGCCTGCTTCAGAGTATTAACAAGGTATCACCTGCACTTGTGAAATCCTATTTGTGTATTGTTAGTTTCATTTTGCAGGCTCTGACAAATCACCTTTCTTGCAAGGAGATAGAAAGAACACTTACTTTTGAGGATGGTAGGGTCCACCTCAGTGGAGAGTAGCCCAAACCACAGCAAACCAGACCTTAAAGGCACCAAGTGTAACATCCATAAAACCTGTTTTTTTGTGCAGTTAATTGCTTGGATCAGCATGTTCAGAAGTCCCCAGAGAGCATCGCTTTGATCTGGGAGCGGGACGAACCTGGAACTGAAGTGAGGATCACCTACAGGTACTGTGTGTCCCAGTGCCCAGCAGGATCTTCTGGGCTTTTACTTCTCTCTCTGTCTGTGGTACACACCAGAACCAAATATGTCTGCTGGGCTGCTTATAGGAGCAAGATTGCCCAGCTTGGGGGAAGGCTGCCCTTGTTCACCTTGGCAATACTTGGTGCCATTAGGTTCCCACAGAAAGAACTAGGTCTTCAGCAATTGTACCACTAGGTACTTATCCAAGGGATACAGGTATGCTGTTTTGAAGGGACACCTGCACCCCAATGTTCATAGCAGCACTATCAACAATAGCCAAAGCATGGAAAGAGCTGAAATGTCCACTGATGGATGAATGGATAAAGAAGATGTGGTGTATATATATACACAATGGAGTATTACTCAGAAATAAAAAAAAAAAAAAAAGGAATCTTGCCATTTGCAATATGTGGATGGAACTAGAGAGTATTATGCTAAGCGAAATTAGTCAGAGAAAGACAAATAACATATGACTTCAGTCATATGAAGGCTTTAAGATACAAAACAGATGAACATAAAGGAAGGGAAGCAAAAATAATATAAAAATAGGGAGGGGGACAAATCATTAGGAACTCTTAAATATGGAGAGCAAACAGAGGGTTACTGAAGGGGTTGTGGGAGAGGGGATGGGCTAAATGGGTAAGGGGCATTAAGGAATCTACTCCTGAAATCATTGTTGTTCTGTATGCTAAATAATTTGGATGTACACTAAAAAATTAATTTAAAAAATGCACTGAAAAAAAAGAGAAAGAACTGGGTCTTTGGACACAAATATGACAAATGTTCAAGGCATGGGGAGGCTTTTTGCACAGTGCTGTGTGCTTCTGTCTGGTTCTGAGCAGGAGGTCATCTGAATATCAAGGGGCATGTTTCAGCTTTGGAAATGTTCTCTGGTCCCAGGAAAGTAAACATGAATGCAAGCTAAATAAAATATATGCTGAAATAAATAAATCTATTTAGCATCTTTCTCCCAGTGCTCTGAGAGCAGCCCCATAAATAAGATCAAGCCATTTCAATAGGGGTCTTCCTGACATTTGTATTCAAGTCTTTAGATAAGTGCTCCACACATTCCATGTGTCAAGCACCTTTTTGGATGTTGTGTGCGTGTTGAGGGTTTGAAGAAACCCCCTGTCCAGGAACAGTAACCTGTCTTCCTAAAGCACTGACTCCTGCTGGAACTGCCTTGCTCAGGGATCTTTGTGGTCAGTCATTGCGGGGCATTGGTTTCCCCTTCCCAGGGGGGAATCCCGCCCCCTCTGCTTAAGCCTAAATTTATGTTTACAATGTTATCTCAGACCCACTGTGAATCTAAGTCATATGTCCTTTATCACCATCCACCCATCACCATCAAGTGATGATCACTCTCCTGGTGGGCAGCTTGTGGCTTTTCTCGTCCAATCACCCAACAAATTTCACCGAGTGCCACTGTATCTGTCAGGACAGGCTGGATTATGTTGTAGTAACAAACAATCCTCAAATCCATGGTAGCATGTGGCTGGGTGGTCACTTTAGACTGAATAGTCTGAGGAAGTGACTCTTGAGCTGAGGTCTTGTTGCCAAGAAGGAGTAACCAAGATTGGAGGAAGAATTCCCAGGCCCACCCAAGACCTCGAATAAGCCCAGGTGTCCAGGAAATACCTGCAGCTGGCAAGGTAGGAGTGAGAGGGGGCATGGTAGGAGGAATGTTCAGGGAATCAGGGGGCCTGAGAGCAACAGTAACTCCCCTGCCACTTGGGTGACTTGGGGGCCACTGGGAACCCCCAGGTTTCTGTTTGCTTCTCAGACTCAGGTTTTATCACAGACCAAATTCACCAAACCTGGTAAAAGTTTACTTAAGTTTTGGATGCAACAAGGTAATGTTTGTTAATCTGCTGCAGCTCCTGGTAGGCACCACCCTACTATCCCCTGACCTCAACAACCCTCGGCTGTCTCAGCCTTTACCAGTGCCTGCATCGTTTGTTGACCTGTCTCCCCATCAGCCTGTACAGATAAACCTCTTGCCTCCGTGCAGCCCACCGGTCAGCAGCATTGACCCCTTGGAGCCTTGGGCCCCATGCTGACAACTGAGGCAGAACCCCAGGCCCCTATACACACTTGAGTTTGGGGAATACTGTTCTAACAAACAAACTGTCTTCACTGTTCATTACTATTATTGGCCCAACTTGATTTAAGCGTGATTTTTTAGTAAAAGATTAAGACTTTAGGGGTAGATGGGTTTACCAACTGGTTGCTGGAGATAAGCTGGCCCAGTGATGAACCATTTTCCTTTTATACCTGCCTCAGGTGTGCCTGGACCCCAGGGATACCTCCTTGGCCTGGACCACAGGGATACCACACCTAGTTAATGGTCAGCAGTGTTAAGTGATCCAAAAGCTGGGCTTAGTCTGGTCTGCTGAGATGTGTGGTTAAATGTAAGCCATGGGGGAATTTTCAGGACTGCAGCCAGTTTGTTTCAGTTCCATTGCACCAAAGCAGCCCCAGGCAAGGGATACACTTACGAGCACAAGAGTATTTATTATTCTCTTTCTAAAAATAAGACTTATACTGAAATGGTTTTATAAACCTTAGCTGGGCTTAGTACCAGATAACTGCTTCTAGACGCTGTTTGAGTAAGAAGAGAAGTGTGTGTACAGGTTGTTTATAATCGCAGCTAGTTTTTGAGAGACATGGGTTAATTATTCTCCTGGTCATTTTAGGTTTTTGACATGAGATTTTCTTTCTCCCTGCTCAGAGGAAAGCCATCTAGACATTGGTGCTGGATGTCCTGCCAACATATAAACTGCCACTAAAATAAAGTACTTTCCTGCCCAGTGTCTCATGTGGTGGCAGCCAAAGTGGTTTTGTCAGTCTGAAGACCAATTTCCAGAGTTGGAGCCTGAGCTGTTTCAAGAAACTCTGTGAGGCTGGGGTTCTCAGAGGCTGGTGTGCTGGGGACCACACCCACCTTGTTTGGAAGTTGGGGGTGGCTGCTGCAAACTCTTCCCCTACCGTGACCTCAGACACAGAAGGTAGCAAGTCGGTGAGTCCAGGACTCACCCCTGGGACAAGCACCGTGGGCTTTGCTCTGGACATAGAGGAATTTGCAATCTGCCATTCTAAAGCCATTTCCTGCTGGCTGGGTGAACTTGTGAAGCCCTGTAATTTCCCATCTGTAGGATGGGGTACTTGTGATAACCAAAGTGATTCCACCTGTAAGCACGGGGACATAATAGAATGTGTTGGAGGTGAAAGTAGTACTTATTTTTTATTTTTATTTTTTTAACATTTATTTATTTTTGAGAGAGAGATATGAGTGCAAACAGGGAGGGGTAGAGAGAGAGGGAGACACAGAATCCAAAGCAGGCTCCAGGCTCTGAGCTGTTGGCATAGAGCCCACACAGGGCTCAAACCCACGAACTGCAAGATCATGACCTGAGACAAAGTTGGACGCTTAACCAACTGAGCCATCCAGGTGCCCCGAAAGTAGTACTTATTAAATAAACATGTTGATGATTATGGTAGCTGCTACTGTTCATCAAGTACTTTCTGAGCTCCAGAAATGTTTTAAGCATTGTACCTAAGTTATTTTATTTAAATACCACAGCCTGATTACATAGGAATTATTATTGTTCTTATTGTTATTTCCAACATTTTGTTATGGAAAATTTCATAATTTGACAATTTTCAAGTAGCGCACCTACTGTCTAGCTACCATGTAAATTCTACCCTTAACATTTTACGATGCTTGTTTTTATCACATGTGATTTGTATATCCATCCCTCCATGGGTCAGTGCATCTTATTTTTGGATACATTTCATAGTAAGTTAAAGACATTAACACATATTCCCTGAGTAATTTGACGACGTAACATCAACTACAGTTATTTGTGTGTTTATCTTCTCTCTTTTGACGTGAAATTTACATACAACAAGATGCACACATGTGCGTTTGCTGAGTTTTATTCAGTGTGTATACCTGTGTAACCCAAACCCCTATGAGATACATAACAACGACCACTGTCCCAGAGGGTTCCCGTGCCCCTTCTCAGTCACCATCCCTACCCTCCTGAAGCAACCACTGTTCTGATCTTTTTCCCAAATAGGTTGTCAAAGCTTTATCTTCCAGATAAGGAGGGGACTCAGAGAGAAGAATTGATCTGTCCAGGGGCAGAGAGTGGTGGGGTCATGTCCCCAGCTGGCACTATCACCTGCTGCAGCCATTATCAGCAGCCCCATTGGGGCCCAATGATGGAATCTGTCAAACAGGCCTATGCAGGGCCTCTGCCTGGGGTTTAGCTCATAGGGAATGGTCACTGACATGTCTCATTCCTCAGGAGTCCAGAGTCTCTCCCTCCTGTGACTGCTAACTTTTTTTGAGGAGGCGTGTTCCTGGAGAATCATTGTAGAACTTGTAGCGGGCACAAGTGACACCTCTATTCTGCTCACCAGAATCTCCACTATTCATCACACGTCTGGGCAGATACACACGTGGTGCACTCACACATATGCATTTTGAGTGTGCTTATTCTCCAGGTACTTTTCTACAACTTACTTTCTCTTTGTGTTTGGGATCTGTCCTGGAATGTTCTCTTGGGTTGCACATAGGGTCCTGCCACCTGTTCTGGGAGCTGTGCCCTGTGTTGCCCGTACATGGACTCTGCTATTCCTAACACTGGCACATATTTGTAATCTCACCTCCCTTGGGTAAGGAAGGCCTGACAGGATGGGCTTCAGGAATCCTGGGGAGGCCCTGTGTCCTCACCTGCCCCATCAGTTCCTTCCCTCTGTGACACCAGCTGGCACTGGCTCCAAGGAGTACCCTGTCAGATGGATCAGGAAGCTGCAGGAATGTAGTCAGCAGTGCAGGTGGGCCCTGGGCTGGCAATGGGGCTGTGGGAGGAGAGATAATCAGCATGGTTCTGTTGAGCTCCCTCCTTCAGAGATATGGCACTTTTTCCCACTGGGAAGTGAAGGGGCAGGAATACTTTGCTTGGCAGGGATCAGC